GACCTAACAGTTATAGTCACTAATGGCATGATTTGAGGAAGAACGAAGTCATAATGAGCAGACAGCAAGGTGGGGACTCTGTGATGGTGTGGGCAGATTTCGATGGGACATTGTATTTATAGAAGATAAAATGAATTCAGAAAAGTATCAAAAACTGCTGTATCAGAATTTAATAACTTTTGGATCACTTATTGGGAGAGAAAACTGGCAATTACAACAGGATAATGCTGCCATTCATGCATTAAAGTCAACTAAAAATTGGTTTGCTGCAAAAAATTAATGTAATTGATTGGCCATCACTGAGCCCTGATTTGAACCCAATAGTGCAAACATGGCCAACATACGGCCCGCGGGCCAGATCAGGCCAGTCTAATGAATTTATGTGGCCCGCGATCAATCTTTCAATATTAGCTACTGAAGTCCGAATAGCTCAATGAAAAATTCTGACGCCTAAAAAAAAAAATGGTCAACAACTCACTGTGCGTTTAGAGTTTTTCCAGATCTCTTAAGTACAGCGTAGAATGTTCATAAAGCATGATAATGCGAAAAATTTATCTGTAATCTCTACGTACAATTTAGTCTCTACGGGGTGACACCGCAATGAGATATCGCACCACCTCAAAATCTTCCTATGGCAGCCTTTGGTTCGGCTCGTAGAAAAAGTTTTCTTTCCAATTCGGCCTGGGGGCAAAAACTGTTGGCCACCCCTGCAATAGAGAATGTTTGGGACGTTATGAGTCCTTTTGGTTATGGCGAAAATAGACAATACAACACTAAATGAAGTGAAACTAGCTATCATGGATTGTTGGGAAAATATTAAACAAGAACAACTTCAAAAACTAGTAAAATGTGTCTGATGGATTATTTGAAATAATTAAATCAAATGGTGGACCTACAGAATATTAAGACTTCACAAATCATTTTTTAATGCACCTGTGTTTATACTTTTGAAACAATCAAAAATTGAAAATCTGTGATAATTTTTTTGTAATTGTCAGATAACTCTAAAGATTTCAGAAATTGTTTAAATTGATGTTGCAAACAACATACTAATAAATACATTACTTTTGTTAATGTTTTTGTTATTGAAAAAAGTTGAATGTGTTTATAATTTTGAAACTGACTGTATATATATAGTCTATATATATATATACTATTAAATACAATATAATATATATATATTATTAAAGCGAGTCTGACCCCTCCCAGAAAAAATTTCCGGTACGTCAATGAAAAAAACTAACAAAATATTTTGGAGTACAGTATTAATCTTACGTCTTATCTTATCAAAATATTATTAACTAGCAGACCCCGCCACGCGTTGTTGTGGCTCAAAATGTATCTATTATAAATGTATAACACTTCCCCCGTGGGGGGGAAATTTTTCGAAAAATTTCTTCTTAGTGTACATTCTCTTGACGTACCCTATTAAAACGCAATCAAACACGCAAAAATCCGCATCTAAAATAATATAATAGAAGCCAAGTTCTTCACGGTAAGCCTTAATTCTGTCCTTCTCCCCCGCGGGGGAATATCGAAAAATACCTTCTTAGTGTACATTCTGTTGACGTACTCTATTAAAACGCAATCAAAAATGCAAAAACCCGCATCTAAAATAGTATAAATAGAAGCAGAGTTCTTTACCGTAAGCCTTAATCCTAACCATCTCCCTTCAGTGGGGGGAATTTCGACACGTATATTACAGTATATAAAAACACGTGCGTATTTCGAATGCAGCGTTGTGTCAAAATTTCAAAGGAATCGGTAGGAACAAACGAACATTACATTTTTATTTATATAGATAGATAAAAGATGATCCGCTTTAGTTCATTTTCACAGAAAAGCGTAATGCCTCACAGTAAAGCAAACTTAGGGCGTCGTACTCGTAGCGCCATCTGTTGGACAAAAAGGCCTTAACCATAGATGATATCATTTAATTTATATGAATGTTTAACGGAATAATATACAGCCTATGTCCACCCTGAGGTTCCATTCTAAATATTGGTGAAAGAATTTTTTAAATCGGATGAGTAGTTTCGGAGATTACCTGCTGCAAAGAAACTTACATACATACATACATACATACAAACATTACCTCTTTATAATATTAGTATAGATTAATTATTAGTGCAAATAACTAAAGAAAGTACTCTTATCTACTGGTTCTCTTAAGAAAACAACAATAGATACTAAATGTAGATTAACTTTTTTAAATATAGCCTAAAATACTTTCATCTACGTATGAATGTTTTGAATTAAATGTTTATATTTAGATTTGAAACAGAATGCCATGTACTGTACATACTGTATATATACAAATTTACATATACAAGTATATATATTTGCAACATTTTATAATAATTACGAAAATATTACATATATACTGGTTCTCTTAAGAAAACAACAATAGATACTAAATGTAGATTAACTTTTTTAAATATAGCCTAAAATACTTTCATCTACGTATGAATGTTTTGAATTAAATGTTTATATTTAGATTTGAAACAGAATGCCATGTACTGTACATACTGTATATATACAAATTTACATATACAAGTATATATATTTGCAACATTTTATAATAATTACGAAAATATTACATATATATAATCAATATAATATTCTATATATAGTAGTTTATAAATATCACTTCCGTTACATTAATTTTATTTTAACCATTTTTTTTTTTATTACAAATAGAATCTCGGAAAAAATATTTTTGAAAGTAGTAACAATTTTTTTAAAAATAAAAATATTGTATTAACGGTTTAAAAAAACTAAATTAACGTATATATCAATAAATAATCGAGTTCACTATAAACGGCAAGAATCAGTTGGATAAATCATAAATTAATGATTAAGTTATTGTTTATAATGGAAATATAAATCATAATGGAAAATATGGAAATATATCATAATGGAAAAATGTGATCAGATAATAAAACATATGTTTGTTTTCGAAAAATATATAAAATATTTAAATTATTTTCAAGAAATTTAAATTATAATTACTTTAAAATTTCTAAGTTGCATGTCTAGATATAAAGGAATTATGAAATGTTATCTGAAAAATTAATCAAGAATAAATGGAATAAAATAAAAAAATATCGGTTCACATTTTTCATAAAATTTATAAAAGTTACATTAAAGTACTTTAAAATAATATTTTCAAAAAACAATTTAAAAATGTGTATAATTTTATAATTCCTTTATATATAGATATGAACTTACATATATACAACAATAACAAATTTTTAAATTTTATTATAAATTTTACATAATATTTTGATTTAAAATATTTATTTATATATTTCCTAATCGATTATAATTGAAAGGTAAAAGAGTAAACGCATATAGAAATTCAGTGATAATTAAAATTACTCTCAATTTTTAGTATCTGCTTGAATTAAAACAATACTTCATTATAAGATAACTTTAAATGATCAAATTTAGGGGAGATCGGGGCAAGATCGGCATGTTAAGCTTCACTTAAATTTTGTGTAATAAATACTGCTGTAAACTGAAAAAAAAGCTTTGCATATTGTCTATTGGAATGTTACCTTACTATAGAACTGGTTAAAATCAGTTTGGAAATAAAAATAATTAAAATAATTACAACTTTACAAGAAGAGAGAAATTGACGAAGTTGCCCCGGGTATAGGGGCAAGATCGGCAACTTCTCTCTTTTTGTAAAGTTGTAATTATTTTAATTATTTTTATTAAAGTTGCCCCTGGTATAGGGGCAACAGTAATGGGGCAAGATAGGCACGTATATAAAATTATGTTATTAACAATGTATAAGTTGGAATTCACTATTAAAACAAAGAAATACAAATCCAACACCCATTTAATATTATTACAACGAAATGCAAGTTCAAAGACATATATACATGAATAACAAATGCAAACATGTTTTCATTTATCATCTGTTTGATTTTTATCCTTTGCTTCTAATGTGGCTTTATGTTGCCGATCTTACCCCGCTAGTCATGATTTCGAAACATTAAGTACAACCCTGAGAACAGAATGCCAAGCCACGATCTGGCCACGTGAATAAGTTGAAGTTACATCCTTCTAACAGGAAAAGTAACTTTCGTTATCATGGAATTATAACAAAACCTGCCAATTCAATATAAATGGAAAAAAAATATTATATGGAATTGAACGAAAATGAAAATTTGCTTGATAATTCAACTACGCTTGTTGGAGAACAATAAAAACACTACACTCAACAAGCCACCAATAAAACTCAACTGCCTAACCTATAACCAAAGTCTCCTTTTAATTTGTTTTTTAAAAAAAGCGCTTGACAAACTTGCCCCGCATGCCGAAGTTGCCCCGATCTCCCCTAATATTACTAATCAATTGTTCATAGGTTGCTAATGTAACTTTATCATAATTTTGTATAACTCTTTAACGAAATAAATGTTTATTATTTAGTACGATGTAATTGATGGATTACCAAATATGTAAGCATGTTACACGATATACATGTACAGTACAGTACCATAATATGTTATTTTTCAAATTTATTAAATATATTCTATGCAGTAAATTGTTTATCAAATCAGATAAAATATATATACAGAATAATAATATCTTATGTTATTATATAATAATATAAAATATAACATACACGGATAAGCTGCTAACCGTTTGTTTGGTGTGTTTTTGTTTATAATCATCATTTTTATAGCTTGCTACTAAAACTATATTACACAGTCATAATTTTAAAATATAAATCACAAGATAAATATTGAATGATTCGTCACATACTGTATTTCAATATGTCTATTCTCAATAACTTTAGTGTTTCGTTGAGCAAACCAAAGAGCTTATTCTTTTAACATTTAATTTCAACATAATCGATTCAATAAAATTAAAATGGAATCAGATTTAAAATTTGTAGGAACGAGCGGAAAGGAAAATTTAAATTAGTATGTTCGAAATTTCGTCAGGAGTACACAGAAATAAATATAATCTGTTAAAAAATTTGTATCAATTTATTAAGATCAATGAATTTTCCGAGAAAAAGTACGGTACAAGTAGATGCATCTGAACCAAGCGAAGTACGGAGAAAAGTAGATAATAAGATATCAAAAGGCATGTATCTGTTATGAAATATAGGTCAATGTCTCACTAATCTGAAATGAGTGCGCCGTTTTTTTATTATCATTAATTTTTTACTATGTTTTTTTAAAATATTATTATAAAATGCTTATATTTAAGCGTATTTAAAAAAAATAAACAAGTCGTTTATACAATTAATTATCGTTTCACGTTTTTTCAGAACGTGAAACGATATTTATTAATAAACGACGATATTTAAGTATCTCTCTGTAAAATTTCTAATCGGCGTAAAAATATATACATTATGAGGTAATTACGGAATATTTTTAATATTGTTAATAATTAACTTTATTTAAAAACAATCTTCGAAATTCTTGTTAATTCTCAATTTTCGATGAAAAATTAAAAACGTTTAAAGTTAGGAGTTTTTATGAATATTATTTATAAGATTATTAAAATTGAAAATTTTAAAATAAAGAAATGCAAATTTGTTTCATTTCTATATTAAAAAATATCATAGATACCGGTTCCAGATTAATTGTTTCACCGGGAGTGAGACCGATGACGTAAAATCCTAGTGACGTCAACAGATATTCTTCCGCGATAAAAACGATTCTACATATTAATATAAATTATAAGTAAAAGTAGATTTTGTTAGCCGAATGCGTTTATCAAAATATAAAAATTTATAAAAAATTAATATATTGCTTATTTACATTTTACTTATAGGTTAATTTTATATGATTACTTTTCAGTTGTAAGAATACTTCTAAATAGTTCGATCATTCGGCTGTCCTTTTCACTTGGGACTACTTGTCATACGAACATGTCTTATAATTATGAAGAAGGAAGGTGAGACGTTTTATACAATTTTTAATTAATTGAAGTACTTTTATGTTGATAATTTAATAAATTGAATTCTACTAAGTTGGAATATGATTAATTGTAATCAATTTTGTAGTTATTTATATTATTAACTTGTTATTATTCGTCACTCCAATACCATTTCGATAACTCAAAATGGCGGACGTCCTTTTGTCGAAAGAGGAACACGTGTTGTTGCCATATTGATCGTTCTATAATTTTTTAAATAATAAAATTCAGTAATATCTTTTAGTTTAAAAATATTTTATATGTTCTAAACAATTAATTATATATTTCATTGCCATTATTTGTCATAATTCGTAAATTAATAAAATTCTTGTATTACGAAGTTCGATAAAAATGTCTTTGTGAATTGAATTAAAACTTTTTTTTCTTCTTAAAACGAAAGTACGAATTTGAGTAGGAATCACTCATGACCTAATTACATGCGAATTTTTTTTGTTTGAAATAAAAATTTAATATGAAGAATAAAAATATATCATCATGATCGCCCCCATTTATAAGGGAAGGGTTGTATGTGCAATGGATATACTCGTGTATTTTTTTTTTCTTTTATTCGTAAATTTTATCAGAAATTATTCAGATGAAATTATAATTTTCGATTTAATTTTTTATGAAAAGAGATTTTGCTAATTGTATAGTTTTAAACTTGCTGTATTTCAAAATTTAGGTTTTTTAAATATATTTAAATAAAATTAATAATTCTAAACAAATTTTTTTTTAATTCTAAATTATTTCAGTAGGTTTAGAAATATTTATTTCATTTGTTGTTAATACCAATAATACCACAGTGGCTAGTTTGTCTTTATTGTAAATGTTTCATAAAGCTTTTTTTTATAATTGTTTTCTGATAGGAACTTATTTAAACAGTAAGTTTAAAATTTTTTTTATACAGTATTAATTGGCAAACAATGAATATTCTCATTTGAATTTTCAATAATATATCGAATGTTCGAGCATGCCTGCCGAATATTAAAAAGTGGAGTTATTGGAATTTCAGAAACGAGACCATTGCATTGTCTTACTTGGCTAAATTGATCAAAATATTTTAGAATTTCATAAGTTCAAAATTAGTCTTATTACCTTTTTAGGTCAAGTTCCAGTTTGTGCTTTTTCTATTTGAGATTGATTAGTTGATTCATTGATTCTTCATCTGTCTAGACAAATTTTCTGATCACAGTCAAGACTCATTTACACATTACTAGAAAATACTTAGAAACAGAATAGTGATATCCCTTCCTGTGTAAAGATTTGTGTGCATCTAAATTTTGACAAACTTAAGAATAGAAAAATGTTTTTGTTATAATGTTACATTTCTGATCAAGTAAGCTCGTTTTAATTTAAATGTTTATATAAAATGGATGAAATATAACTAATTTTAAAAGACTAGTAAATATTTCTTTGTAATGAAGTAAATAACAATAATTTTGATATAATCAAATTATATTATTTAAATTTTCCATTTCATTTTGTCCAAATTAGTAAATGAATATGAAAGAACCTAAATGCAGAAAAATTCAGTTTGCAGTTTTCTGCTGTAGTGGATGATAAGCAAAATAAAATATTACTTCGTTTCTTCATTAGCAGAAAACATTTTCTGCTAATGAAGAAACAAAGTTTTTGGTTTGATCTGAATTTAAAATAATCAAAAATGAGAACCCAGATTATTTGAGGTGATAATAGACTGGTATTTGGATAACCAAAAACTTGGATAAAATGGGTGGCTGTGACTATTTCAGATTAAAAATTCTGAAAATAAAAGATTTATATGTAGCACTTTTTAAAGTCTTTTTTTATATTCTAGTGAATTTAATTATATATGAGAACAACAATTTTTACATTATTTATTATACAGCTATACCTAAAATTGCTTTAAAAATAAAAATGTGTATTATTGTAATTACATTTTAATATGAATGTTTAGTCTCACATTGAAGTTAAATGAGAAAATGATAACAAAAACAAACTATTTTGTAATGTGTATTATCATTTTTTTATACTGTACTTTATAACAGAAGTTACTTTTAGTTAACTTCTTTATACAATCTCTGACAATAAAGTTGGTGAACAATGTTGGCAACACTGAGAGGCCAAGCAAGGCCAAAAGTGTCAGTTACAAGGTATGTGGTGTTCAGATAACATTGTGTGTTAGTAGCAAAGGATGAAATTGGTTGAGTGGTGAAAATGGAGTAAGGAACGAACTTACTGTTTTGCTACAGGCTTGGCAAATTCACAAAAGTCATGCTATGCTGAAGCATGAGTTTCTTTCTACACCCCCAGTAAGCCAAGGCAGGCTTTTGGAGAAGGAACAATGACCAGACCCCACATAGCCATAATCATGCAGTAGATGCTGGCTTAAGAAAAAAGGGTGGTTGTCACTTGTGCGCCACCAATCTCACTTGATGTAGCTTTCCCAGATTACTTTGTTTCTGTGACTAAAAATTGCAGTAAAAGGCAAGAGATTTTCCAGCAAACCTGACATTCAGTTCAGTATGATGAGGGAACTCAATGTCTTCTTGAAAAAGGACTTTGTAGTTTTCAAGACTTCTACATTCACTCTCAAAACTGTATTGCCTTGGACAGGGACCACTTTGAAAGACAGTAAGGTATGTTTGCAGAACTATGTCAGTGCTTTCCTATTCTGAACTTTATTGTCAGCGGTTGTATGGCTGTAGAGAAATGACATACAAGTAATTTCTACCAAAACAGCGTATTTACATATAGATTCATCTTAGATAATGTGGAACCTCAATTAAGCATTCTATTGTAGTTAATATTTATCTATTTTTCATTACTGTATATTAAAGATAGGTTTAACGAAATGTAGAAATTGATTTGATTTTAAGCAATTCTTTACTGAGTACTTTGTAAACTTTTTTCCTGTTATAATAGTTGCTTATTATTTATCATTATAATGTTCAGCAAAAAAGTTTATTAATACATTCCATTTCATCATGCTTTACAGTTTGAAAGTAATACAAAAAGTAAAATTCACATATGAAAATAAAGTTTGTTCTATACATGTCAACAGAAAAAAAGAATTTTATTATTAGACTTTTTGAATTATTTTTTTGCATAATGTAAACAATCGAGCTTTTTGTCCAGTAGTTGACCGGCGGGTTGCACAAACCTTTGAGGGTCAACAGCATGGTTTTCTTCATCGAGCCTGATAAATGTGGCAACTGTGAAATGATAAACTAGCTCAATAATACGCATTTTGTAGAAAATATGCACCTGAGACAAAGTGCCCTCATTATTTTTGAAGACTTAACAATGCCTCATTAAGTGGTTGACTACCAGAAGGGATGTTGCATAATAATTTTTCCATGACTATGAGGGAGGCAACCTGTTATTCCTGTCATTGAGAATGGATTCATCGTAAGATGACTATAAAATATATTAACAATTCCTATTGTAACCTTCCTGTTTTTAATAATTTTGATTTTTGAAAACAAAATTTTGACATTTTTAAAAAATTTCAAGAATTTATTAGATTTCAAAGTAGCATAAGTTTAAACATTACAAATTGCTTAAATATTTAATATAACAGGATTATTAAGCATTTTAGACACTAAAGCATAAAAATATTTTTTAATACTGTTTTGTAATACAGTAGACCCCTATAAAACGGGTTCATATAATTCGGATTCGTATATAATGGTGAAAAAATTGCGACCGTATTTGTATAAACATGCTAAAAGAGACTCCTATATAACAGTAAAACATCATTGCCGACTCGTGTCACGTCAGGATTGGTCGAATCTAGACCAATAGCTGATGTTGCACAAACCATTGAGTTTAAACGACAGCGGACCTACTAAAAACAATTTATTATATAACATTCATAAAAATTATATTTATATTAATGATGTCTCCAAAGTTCAGCAAATTTTTCACAGAAAAATAATTTATCGGGAAACGTGTGCGCCTCCGTTTGATGTGCCGCTCCACAACGAAAACAAGCTTAACCGTAAGATGCTAAAACGGCACTATCGTTGTTCTTTCTAATATATTATTTATGTTCTTTGATTATTTGTTCCAAGCTTCTCAAAGTAGCACCTATATAAACACTATCTGAATCAAAGTGACGGTCTATGATTGGTATGGATCTTAGCATATTACGCTAACCAGCAAGGAGTTGAGGTTATATGGGACCAAGCTTCCATCATTAGACCCACGTCTAACAAGCACTCCATCAAACATCTCAAAAAGCTTGAGATTTATAAAGCCCAAGGGAAAACTACTTGTATCAATCATAGAGACGACCACTCTCTATCTACAGCATGGAAATCATTCTATGAAGATAAACTGTAATTTTTTACGAAACATTAATTTTTAATAGGAACTGTTGAGCTCTTTATTTTTATTTATTTTTATATTCTTATATCCCTATTATTATATTCATTCCATTAAGCGCACATCATTACAAACACATGTGCACTTATTATTTTTTCGTAATTTTAATTTATGTTCTATTTCTTTAATGTTCTTTTTACTTTATCATTTAACTGATGAAGATTGTTAAAGATAATTGAAAACGTTTTTACGATATTAAATTATTTGCTGGAATATTTAAAAAGGTGATAATTTTGATTAATTCTTTCTAGTTCCAGTACAAGTTAGTATTTTTATTGTGTTATAGTGGGGTCAGCTGTAGATATTAGCATGAAATTGAGTAATTTTGTAAATAGAAAATGATGTATATATAAATATACTAGCTGTATATTTTGCAAAATGTATCTATTGTAAATGTATAACACTTCCTGCAGGGGAATTTTGAAAATCCCTTCTTGGTGTACATTCTCTTGAAAGTACCCTATTAAAACGCAAAAAACCACATATAAAATATTCTAATAGAAGACCAGTTCTTTATGGTAAGTCTTAATTTTGTCTCTCCCCATGGGAGGAATTTCGACATCTATATAATATAAAAACATGCGTGTATTTGAATGCAACATTTTGTCAAA